ATTCTCAAATTTAAGAATTCAAGATATCCGAAAGACATAACAGTAGCTGAAACATGTGCAGAAGTCGAGCTGCAGAGTCTACCAGACAACACATCTTTAAGTGTTTTACAGCTCCAAAAAACTGTAACTGAAAATTGTCTTGACAAAGAGACACATTAAAATTAATTGGAAAATGGGGATTTTATGGCAGTACTGGGCACAGTGAATACAAGCAAAAGTTTTCAAACTGTAATGACGATGATAGAAGTCTATTTTAACATCGTACGTCCCACTTCAGCTAATAATAATGATAATAATGAAAGTAACTCCAAAATAATATGGAAAAATCCTAGACCATAATCTACACGCTATTGTAGGCCAATCAGACTTCAATTTAAAAAGGAAACAGCCATACTATCCGTTGAAGAAGAAGTCTACTTCAAAATTAAATACACAACTTAATACCAACCGAATTTCAAATTCCCGATAAAAATTATTAATAAATCATGACCTGCACCTTACTATGGTGGATGGTAAAGTGTGCAACGCGTTAAGGAACACGTCGTCTATGAAATTCTTTATTTGCGGTGCGAAACCCACCGAAATGAACGATTTGGAAAAATGTCTCCAAAAAAAAAGTTAATAAAAAGTATTTTGAATTTGGCTTATCACCACTTCATTCTTACATACGCTCTATTGAGCACTTTTTACACATTTCATTCAGAATTGTTATTTTTACAAAAGATTTTTACTTTCAGAAACTGTCAAAATATTTATAACTTTAATTGGTTTCCAAGCACATCATATAAGTATCCAATAAGAATGAGCCTGATGAAGAAATATGAAGGCTTTTTACAAAAAAAATCGATAATAATACACTGTAGAGCAGCGATCTAAAAATTACTACACAAATATAAACAGAATGTCATTATGTATGTGTTTGCCGACCGCTGCTTCATTGTGAACTATTCCACGTACTATTCTATGTACGAATGTACAGTGGCTCACAGCTTATTTGATGCAGAGCCTATTTAAAAATGTATTCGGCTGTTACTTTTGAACATAAAGATTTATGTTAAACAAGAAAGAAAGCAAACTTCGGCAAGCCGAAGTTCATATACCCTTGCAGCTATTGCAAGAATTAAACATTTTTGAAAACATTAAAATTATAATTTACTTGCGTATAAGTTTAAAAACATTGAAGCTATGATGATTTGCAGCTCAATTATTTGATAGTTATTTTATATATTTTTATTGTTCCTATGGGAGCTATATGATATAGTCGTCCGGCTTTGATGAAACTTAAACCGAAAATTGGAAATATTTAACCATTACTAAATGTCGAAGAACTAAACAAAAAATTAAAAAACAGAAAAGTTATAATTTTTTTTCATTTATTTCTCCGATTGTTCCTATGGGAGCTATATGCTATAGTCGTCCGATTTTGATGAAATTTTTACCATAATTCTGAAATATTTAACCATTGCTTTATGTCGAAGAAGAAAACAAAAAATTAAAAAACAGCAAAGCTAAAATTTTTTTTCAATTATTTTTCCGATTGTTCCTATGGGAGCTATATGCTATAGTCGTCCGATTTTGATGAAATTTAAACCATAATTCTGAAATATTTAACCATTGCTATATGTCGAAGAACTAAACAAAAAATTAAAAAACAGCAAAGTTATATTTTTTTTTCATTTATTTTTCCGATTGTTCCTATGGGAGCTATATGCTATAGTCGTCCGATCCGGCTCGTTCCGACTTATATACTACCTGCAATAGAAAGACAACTTTTGGGAAAGTTTCATGCAGATAGCTTTAAAACTGAGAGACTAGTTTGCATATAAACGGACGGACAGACGGACGGACAGACGGACATGGCTAGATCGACTCCCCTAGTGATGCTGATCAAGAATATATATACTTTATAGGGTCGGAGATGTCTCCTTCACTGCGTTGCAAACTTCTGACTGAAATTATAATACCCTCTGCAAGGGTATAAAAATTGATTGGCTAATAATAGATTTATAAATCTAGTGTAATAAAGGAGCATCATTTATTACATACGAATATGTCAATGGGTTAATATAACAAAAAACAAACATTTTCCAATAGTATTAGGTCACAGCTTAAATGATGCACTTCATATTTAGTCTTAAATAATTAACATAAAAATCTTAAAAATATTTTCAGTATTTTGTATGATATCCCTTGGCTTTAATGACCGCATTTAGGCGTGATGGCATTGAATCACCAGTTTCTGGGTCGTTTCTGAACCTATTTTGGACCACTCATCCAAAAGGGCCTTATTTAGCTGTTCCTTGCTGGAAAATTGTGTTTCCGTATGTTGTTATCAAGTAAAGCTAACAAATTCTCTATAACATTCATATCTGGTCACTGTGCAGGCAGCGTCTCTATATGAGGACAGTTATATACCAGCCACGTACTATTCTATGTATGTATTACTCACTAAGCAAGAACATCATTTAACACTTATTTTATGTCCGAATTTGTATAATCTTGGAATTTTTGTTTAAATTCTGATAGCGCACCGAGTTTTGTCATTTCGCAACTCTGGGACGGATGATTAGCACCATATTATTAGCATTAGAAAAAGCATGTGTTTTATCTGAACTTAAATATTGTCTGGCTTTGCAGCTTTCCACGCGGCAGACGTATGCTATATTACCGAGCTACAATATTTTATTTTTCACAAATAACTGCTCATTACACATCGAAAACAAAAGTTGTAAGCCCTTGCGTCTTCCTTCCCGAATTTTTAAATTTAATGTTTTCAAAGTCTATTATTAGGTCAACTGCTCGCTGTGAACAGAACGGTAAAATGCAATTTTGGCGAGTGCCACATCACCTCTCTCTTCATATAGTACAGTGATACAAAACATTTCGATTCCCAAAAATGGAAATATATTTATATTTGTATTTAATAGTAACTTTTAAAATTATTAAAATATTTTTTTGTTTTTTCATAATGATTAAAATATTTGTATTTGAACTAGATTTAATCCAAAAATAATTTTTAATTTGCCTTTTTTTCACTGTTTCACACATAGGATATCAAATTCAAAAGGGAAGGTGACAAAATATATATGTGTGCTCTATAATCTGTCCTGATTTTAGCACAAATATGAATATGTATTAAACATGAGTATGTACATATATATAAAAAAATCAACTTTGTAGGTATTAAAACTTACCACGGAGATGTCCTTCTACAAGCGACATATCTCCGCGCAGAGATAAGACGTTTGAAAACGACATATCTCAGCGCGAAAATATTTCGTTTTTAAACGACATGTACATATCTCCGCCGACTAAATAGACTGGGCGGAGATATGACGGCGGTAATATTTCGTTATCCCGACCATCCCATCAACGGTTGGTGGAAGGTCGATGGATCTCTTTGCAAATAGACTATAAGCCGTTTACAACTGGTTTTACAATTCAATTTGACACGAAAGATTTAATTATCGTTAGACAAATGCAATCACAACTTTTCAAATAAGAAAGTTATATGAAATCCCCTTGTCGCTCACCACACCCAATTGGATTGACTACCCAATACGTTCTCTAGTGCGTCGACATTGCACATATTAAGATTTTCATCGGATTTTTCTTGTCTTTAACTGTTTTTCGCCGATTAACTTCTCTTTCTTTAATTTACTTTCATCTAACTCCATCGTAGATGGTTCCTAATGTTTTAACGGACAGTTATTTTAATTTTTCTAGGATTTTAAGTCCCGGACGAGCCCCCAATTATTTGTAGGGTATTACAAATTGAATATGGTTTTTTTTTTATTTCGGGTGTTTCTCAAGGATTCATATTAAACAATTAAGGAACAATATTCGGGTTTAACGACTTTCGCCAATCAATCAGCACAGACATAGAGTATGAAATATTTGGAGACATTATATGTTCTCTTGATGCCGCTCTGCCAGTGATGCCAAATTGTTTTTCAAAATATAAACTTACTTAAACTAAACTTAAAGCATGATAATGACATGATTAAGATATTTCATTGGATTATCCAATAGAAAAATTGTAGATTTAAACTTTTTTTAAATTTAAAACTAAATTTTTGCATGCCCAAAAATAAAAATGAAAGTTTAACACACTTTGATTTAAATATAATACCCCTCGAGGCTAAATCAGAACCGAAAATATTTATTTCAAAGTGAAAATATTTAGATTTACTATAATTTTTCTCTGGGTGTAGTCGAGTTCTGCGACTATTATATAGCCGGTTACTAGGTATATTGATTTCGTTGAAAAGTATGCAACAGGAAAAAGGAAGCGTTTTCGACCCTATAAAGTATATATTCTTGATAAGGATCAATAGCCGTGTCGATCTAGCCATGTCCGTTTGTCTGTCCTTATAAACGTCAATCTTGGCCAGAGATCTGAGACTTGGCATCCTGATTCTATTTATGCCTAAGCAACGCAACGTAACGCCAATAAATCGCAAGACTTTGGACAGACGTTGTAGAGGCCAGGTATTGGGCGGAATATGTTTATTTGGTTGATATCTATTGACGCACCAAACAGTTTCCAAATCAAACAAATATTACAGAAGCTGTTAAGAAATTAAAGTCAAACTTAATCAGTGACGTCTCTATTGCAAGCGGTTGGATTTGACTAAATGGTTTGCTGGCGAAAATAATTGCTGAAGCCATCTCCAGGAGGCAATTGTAAGCAATTTCTTATGCATTGAAAGACAATACCTTTTTAAATATTTAATTATTAAATATTATTAATATAAAATATTTAATTATTAATATTTGTGCCTCTTAATGCAAACGATAATTAATAATAATATAAATCCCCTCGAAAATTAGTTTAATTAAATTTCCCTGTTAATAACTTTTTGAAAAGCAAGAACATTTTACCAATTACATTCGTATTTTATAAATACAATATATATAATAAATTGCTGCTTATATCCTTGCGCCACTTTCACTTAAAACGTAATAAATTAATTCGTGTTTATTTTTTATTTACGCAGGGTTCGCGGAGCCAGTGGCAGATTGTGTTTGGAATGACCGCCGTGGTTTTCTTCTTTGGCAACCTGGTTTACCTCATTTGGGGCACTACTGAACAGCAGGTCTGGGATGCCGAAGACTTTCTGACTCCCCGGGACTCGGAGTGCATACCAAATGGCCCCCAAATCGATCTCAAGCCCATGGCGAATACAGTTGCTAAACCAGATATAAAGACAACATGATGAACTCAGGAAATTCAGGATTGCTGGCAACGAGTCGTATGCGCAATAAGTGTGGAATGAAAAGTTGATTTGACCAGCACTGATTAAACGAGTATTGGGCCCAGCGTTTGCCGTTTTAATTAAAAATTCTTAAAATGTCCGTGGCGCCCTTGTATTTTAATTTCTTGTTTGTACGCATTTCTTTTCCTGGCCGCGGAAATTTAATAGAAAATTCTGGCTGTTTCTTTGAATGAATTCATTTTCTATTTCTGCCCGCATTTGCATGCCACCAGCATAGCATAGTAGAGCAAAGCAGAGGAGAGCAAACCTACACTCATCGCCTACTGAACCGGTTTGGAATTTAAAAAATCTCAATAAAAATCGAAAAAAATGTTAAATTTTGTTTTCTTTTAAATATGTTTTTGCATTATTAAAATTATTTTCTAAGGTTAAAAACCTTTAATAAATCAATCCTCTTATTGTGCGTGTAAGTGTTTAATGACAACGATTAAATTATTTTAATAATGTTCAAATAAATTTCTTTATACAAATTAAAAAACATATTTGTATAAGTACACTCATAGAAAAAATTCAGTATTTCGGTGTCAAATCAAGTACAAACGGTGTCAAAAGTATTCCCTTTTATTTTCATTCAAGTACGAAAAAAAATATTCAAGTACAAATTATTCAATCCCGAAATGTAGAATTTGAGAATGAACGTTCTCAGTCCAAGTACTTAAAAGTGCTGGAAGGAATTAGGAAAGATATTGGTTAGAGTACGAAAAATTATTTATGCAATTATAAAAGTTACTTAATTTAAGTTGTGTAAGTGAACAACTTAAGCACACAGAGGGAAACATTTTTTTCTGGGAACATTTTTGTACAAAAAAATGTACATTTTAAGAACGGAATGTTCTTGTTTTAAATTAATAGTAATTTTTTTTCTTTCTTAAATTAATAGTTTTCAATTGATTTTACTAATAATTCTGGTATTTTTTATAAACACTATACGCAGGATTAAAGCAAAAAAGATCGTTTTGTCTGTGTATTAAAATAAATTTAAATATTATTATCAAGTACGATCTGTTCTTAATCTGTACGTTCGTCCGATTTTCAAGTGCGTCCGTACTAAAATTTAAATATTAGTACTACATTTTTCTGGGTGTATGTAATTTAACAAAGTAAATATCAAATTAAAACAATTCTGACGTGCTCCTGTTTCTACTTTCATATTATCTTTGTGTTTTAAGTTTCTAAACAAAAAAAGTGCTTGGGAAAAACGAGAGGTTATTTGTGTATTAAAAACGGCAAAGTTGTCTTACCGTTCTAAAAAGTAGTTTGCCCTTCCTTTCTAAAATCGGAACATATATGTAAAAATATATGATTTGAATTGATGATGATCTTTTTCTAAAATACAAATCGAACTGTGCCAGACTTCGCCAATTATCAGATATTTATCGCTATTTTTGTTTTCAGTGCAGTCAAGGCAACAGACTCCAGCTCCGGCTTACCAATCGTACGAACGCCCCCCTCGGAACCTTAACTTTATTCCCATCTGCATGCTTATCCTTGTCCTCGTCCTGGGCAGTCAGTCAGCGCTGAGCGGCGGCAGGCAAACAACAAGAAAAAAACTTTGCACACAAATCAGAAAAATGGACACTTGGTAGAATTTATGCACGAACGCGTGCGCCCAGTACGTCGCATGGCCATATTCGCATGGTCTTGCGGTGGAATTGTTTGCCACCCGACGGCAGAAGGCGACTGGCCGAAGGGGCAGAGGCGCGGACTGCGAGCCAAAAGAGGCTTATGGCCAGCAAGTGGCAGCGGCGCGTATTTCTGGACCAGACAAAACCAAAACCGAAACCAAAACGAAAATGTTTTTCAATTAAAAACGCTGTGGAGCGAGCGCAAAAATTCATTTGAATTGCCCCATCGCTGTCGTGTCCCGCGTCCTCTACCTTCTTCTCCCCACTCCTCGCAAAAGCCACCAAACGGCGCTGCCTCAATGAAAAGTCATAAATGGCCTTCGCACGCACATCCGGGAGCAGATATGTACATTAGGGCGGTCCAAATTTGGATAAAAATTTGGTGTGTGATATAGTGTGTGATTTTCTGCATTTAAGGCATACGAAAAAAAACTGGTTGAAGAAAAATTTGTAATTTCAAAATTAAATAAAAAACTTAAAATTATAAAAGTTCAATTTTTTTTAATATTGCTCCCATGGGAGCTATTTGATATAAATCAAGTTTAAACCATAATTTAGAAATAATAAAGAATTTCTCTTTCTTGAAGAACTAAAACAAAATTAAAAAACAATGTTACAGTTTTTTTTGCCTTTTTCTCGTCGATTACCATAAGGTAACCTTAAATAATAATAAATAATTGTATCGGTCAAATTTAATTTGCGAAAATATTAAGGTACTCATTTAAACAAGAATATTAAAATACATATTTATTATGTTAATTCTATTTAATAATTGTAAAATTAGTCTTTCAATCTTATATCGATACATAAATGGTCTTTGTGAAACTAGTTTGGCGCTTTCTGAGACAATTTGCTTGAAAATCCCGAGCCCATTTCGTTTTCAATAAAATTTTTTTGCTCCCCAAAATCGATTTTATTGGACCACCCTATTGTTCATAAATATGTGTGTACATGGCTCGCTGACCAAGGAGCAGATGAAGCTTCTGAATCGGACTGTGGGGAGCCACTCCATCCATGCGCTGAGTTCATATGCAGAAACAACTCTTTAAAATCATGGAAATTAATACAATCATGTACTAAGCGGATAAAGTTGATCTGCTCACGTGGAGAGGCTTTATTATGTTGCGACTTTTTTTTTAATTGTCCTAACTTTTATAAATGTATATAAAGTAAATCGTAGTGGTATAGCCGGATTCCATTGGCGCATTAAAACGCATTTAGCCCAATTCGCTTTTATTTACACAGGGAAATCCATAAGGCTAAATGCCGCATTTAAATATTTGCGATAAATAAATGCGATTAAAAATCATTCGCCCCGAACGTATTAAGAAAAATACTAGAAAATACCGATATTTAACGATATTTCCTTAGTGTCCCCACTACAACATCTGGCTTTTTTTGGCGCAATTGTTGATTTCTTTCGAAATTAAGATCTATTTTGCATTAAAATGGCTGAAAACAAGAGCACACGCAGCAAATCCTGGTCGCAGTACCACACAACAATACATTACTGCAGGATCTCTGGCAGGAAATTATTCCCACATATAGGGGGATCCTTGCTCTTTTTCAATACTTTGGTGGTCTCCCATCATACAACATTATCAGCTTTCCTTTCTTGTCCCCCATGTTGGCAAATGCCTCGGTCGCATTATGGATGTCCTGCTGAGCATTAAAGATATTCGTAAAACTCGCTTATATTCATGATTTTTAATTCAGTTCCTTTTTATTTGCGACAATTCAAAAGTAAACAAACCCAAATCAGCTGTTCCTGCCACTCACATGTCGGAGTAGCATTAGCTAAGTGCTAATGCGCCAAAAGAATCAGGCACATTTAAAAAGTCAACTATGCGGCAATGGAATCAGGCTATTATACTCTGTATTAGATTGGTCGCATTGGTTAAATCCGCTAATAAAACTTATCGATTCTTCAACGCACTTAATAGTAAATCTACCCACCAAATCGTTAATGGATAGTGGATAATTAGCTACGTCATAAATATGTGCATTGGCTTCAGAAAACAACAACAACGCAAATATTTGTTTTTATCGGCCTGTTGCCACGTTCGTTTTTTTGTAATTATATTTTGTCATTAACATATTTTATGAGCACGAATTATAGTTATTTTATTTATTCTTGCCTTTGCTGCGGTCTTATAAATTTAAAAATTTAACTTTTAGGTCAATTTGTTTAATTGTATTGGATTAAAGTTCCACGAACCATTCCTTCTGAAAAAAGGCCAAAGAATATTAAATATTCCCCTTTCTCGTAAAGTAAAAGAGTAGCGGGACCACGCACACTTAAACGCCAACCAAAAACAAAAGCCTGACATTTCACTCTGAGACATGTTAGACCTTAGTTATTGAGCTGTGTGCGTGGGTCTCGTTCATATCTATCAGTAGACTCAAACAACTTTTTAAAATCGACCTATTACACTAGTTTAATTCAAATCGATGAAATCTTCCAGAGATCAAACCTTGATAACATCAACATTTTTTGTTTGGTGCCATTGTATCAAAAGTGTAAATAACGTTTTTCCCCTGTTTTCATGTCAATAAGGATTGGTTTCCTTATAAAGATGCTAGAACTCGACAAAGTTTGAATAAATTGCCAAAACGCATTTTCATCATAAAGGGGCAGAATTTTAAAATATATTTATACGTTTATTACAAGTCAGTCAAACCTATAGATGTGTTAAAAAAATAAATGTTTTGATGCTGTCTTTTTTTCCACTTGTTTACACCGGCTACGCTGGTATACATGACTTTATCTTTATAAAAACGTAAAATGTTCGCCGCTAACTTTAATTAATTTATACGGCTTTCACAGAGGTTGTGCCAACTTGCATGCATTTTCATTAGAAGGGTCACAATTTTTACCTATTTATATATTTATTACAAGTCATTCAAAACGATAGATGTCTCAGAAATAAATTGTCTTTAATTGTGGTTTAGCCGGCTGCGCCAGCTGGAAATGTTGCCATCCATGAAACATCATTTTTAATTTTAAATTTAAATTAATTACTGCGGCTTTCACAGACGTTGTACCAACCTGCACGCTATCTCATTTATGCGGCGCCCAAAGCTTTAAAAACCAAACCGCGTCGAGCATGATAATGGACTTATACGGGTATGACAGTACAACTCATTCATTGACGGTTTCATTGGAGCTTAGAAAGAGTCAACTATTTATGACGATATTGAGATTTTTATTTTAAAGCGTACGGTCACATTGAAACGAAACAGCAAGAGTTTTCAGATGAAATGATGATGTGATGAATGTGATTCCATCTGGAACCATGTCAGGCCCCATGTATAAAATTATGAAAGTGAAAGTGGATTTTTGGCACCAAGTTGCGGAGGAACTTAATTCAATGTTCTCGCCGCTAGTTCCCGTCCAGTCAGGTTGGTCAGGTTTTATATAAAATTAGTTAAATATGAATTTAATGTACTACCA